CTTTATAATGTTCTTTGCGGTTTTTTTCAACACCTTTACGCTTATATAGATTGGAACTCAAACATATGCAACGTTTTATCTCCATATCATATGGGCTTTGATCACTATGAAAGCACCGTAATTTTGCATAACAATCATTTGTATGCATGCATGTATGGATGAGTATAAGGAGCTAGGGTTATAAAAGGTCGCCAATGGTCAGCGTCGGGACTTATAAATTTAAATTTGTGCTATTTAATAAGTATCTATAACTCATATGAAACCTGATGGTATAGTTTTCAGAAAATCGTTCATAGTATGGATTGAACATAACTATAAAATTAATATTAAGTAGAATAGATTAGATAAAACTGTATTTGGCTGCAAGTCCATATAGTAGATAATTTCACATGCGCACACTTTTTTGCATGTGCACCCATACAGCAGACTGAGAGAAATTGGCAGGGACCATCATAAGAACATCCCATTTTAAATCTATGCTAAAACCACTAGAAACAAGCACTTTAAACACATTGACCTTTATCTCAAACCTCAAGTCCATATCTTTACCCTCACTGCAAAGCTGGATTTGCCAGGTGTCTTTTGGTACAAATAGTGAGAGGTCGACTCCGGGGTTTAATGAGCTACAGCCAAAATATTGAAATAATACCAGGATTTCACCCCCTGGCAAAGTGGGACAGTCCACTCAGAGAACACGTATTTAGAGGTCAATGACAGGTCAAACCATGGAAAAGGTCACACTTTTTGGCCATATTTAAAAAAAAAAACTTTCTTCTGTCCTGTTTATCAGAAAACTGGGCCTTTCTGATCAAATTTTCCCAAGAAAGAAAATTATCTTAAAAAAATAAGTCCTACAATTTTATTTATTTATTTATTTGCATGTTCATGCCCATGGGGCTAAATGCATACATCAGAAAGTGATGTTACATGTACATCATTCTGAGTAACATGATACATAAGATACAAGAATAACAGAATAACAGAATGACGTAACGTCTTAACAATTACTAGTCAGAGAATAAGCTAAACTAAGCCTTAAGGATTTCTTCTCTCTTTTTAAAGCAATTGGAGATAAATCCACAAAGTTTTTCTATTGTATGGTCATTACTGGAGGACATGAGATGACTGAATACATCTTTCTTTCAATTTCAATTCAATTTATTTTATTTAACCAGTAATTACAACTCAGGCCAATTTGGCCTGCTTTTCAGGTAATCCTGGATACATATAAAAATACACACAACAAATATACATTACATAAACTATTACTAAAATTACAACATCCTAAACATCAAGAGTGTCAAATCCTGCACCTAATGCTCTGTATAAAAGTCCTAAGAAGTCCTGCTCCTAATGATCTGTATTAAAAGTCCTGAGAAGTCCTGCTTCTAATGTTCTGTTTAAAAGTCCTGAGACTAAGGAGCTGTCGTTGCTGTAGCGGAAGAGTGTTCCACAGGTAAGGACCATAGTACTGTAGACTGCTCCGGTATGCCGTGACTCTTACTGGTGGACAGAAGAGTAGGTGAGGGTCGTAGTCCCTAAGACGCTTTAACTCTGAGCGAGTAGTCCGTACGCTTAATGTTGGAGGAGTTTCCCACTTGAACAGAGATGCCATGTACACTGGCGCACTACCACGAATTGCCTTAAAGACATTGACAAGAGTTGTGATTTCTGTCCGTTTGCGCACAGAATCTATCCCTGCCTCAGCTCGCAAGTTAACCGCTGAGACATGGTCCTGGAGTTTGTGACCTGTAATAAGCCTTGCAGCTCGGTTGACCAGTCTGTCCAGCTGTGACAATAAGAGTCTTGTTGCCTTGTACAAGACTTGGTAGCCATGCTGTGGCACAATACTCCAGATGAGACAGTAGTAGTGTCTGGTACATGGTACGCAGAACTTCCTTTGTAACAAAGGCTCTAGCACGCCCCATGGCTCCGAGTCCGCTAAGAAGCTTCTTCGTGATTCTGTGCACATGTGCTGCCCACCTGAGTGATGGGTCGAGAGTAATGCCCAGGTAGGTGAACGAGTCAACTTGCTTGTATACGTTCACACCGTCTGTTATGTTGACGGATGTCCCAGCATGCCTCAATTTCTGAGGGAGCCCAAAGAGCATCGATTTGGTCTTGTCAGGATGTAGCAACAACTTGTTTTCATTTAACCATTTTACAACTCTCTTCATGTCCATAGAGACAGTCTCTTCACAGACCTTCACGGAATCAGCCGAGTAGTACAGGACTGTGTCATCAGCATACATGTGGATGCTGCATTTTTCAATGACGTTGGGTAAGTCGTTAACGTACAGACAGAACAGTAGGGGCCCGAGAACACTTCCCTGAGGAACCCCACAGGAGACCCGAGTTTTGTAGAGTGTTGACCCTGAAGGCACGTGCAGTGGAAGCGCTCAGATAGGTAAGAGGAAAACCATTTCATGGCGTCACTGTCAAAGCCAAGCTTATCAAGTTTGCCTAACAGAATGTCATGGTTAACCGAATCGAAAGCCTTCCGTAGGTCCAGAAATAGTGCGACTGTGACTTTACTGCAGTTGTAACCAGATCTAATGTCCTCTACAATCTTCTGTACATCAGTCCCCGTGCTATGGTGCCTCCTGAACCCGCTTTGGTAAGTAGTGAGAAGTTCACATCTGGTCAGGTAACGTGTCACTTGATTACATACAAGCCTTTCCATTACCTTTGACGTAACACTTAGCACGGACACAGGGCGGTAGTTACCGACATCAGCACAGTTACCAGACTTGTGTACAGGTGAGATTTGAGCCTCCTTCCAGTCGGATGGAACCTCTCCAGAGGCCAGTGATAAGTTAAATATGTGAGTCAGAGGCTTTGCAATCACTGGAGCGGAGTCTTTGAGAAGTTTAGCTGGAATTTTGTCCAACCCCGTTGCTTTCCTTGTTTTCAGCCTTAAAAGTTCATTCATCATTTCTGACTCTTCAACACCTTCAAAACTGAATTTTGTCGAGGGATTAGGGATGTGGCGGAGAGGATCCTCCTGGGAATCTGGTATCTCATCCGTAAGTCGTGAGGCGCAGGATGAAAAGTAATCATTGAATTCCTGGGCCATTTCGCTTGGGTCAGACGTGGAAGTGTTGTCAGTTCGCACCAATTTCTGGACTCGGCCTTTGGATTTTGATCTCCCTGTAAAAGTGTTTATGATCTTCTACATGAGAGATTGGTCACCCTTGGCCTCTGACACAGCTTTGGCAAAGTGACTTCTCTTCTCGTTTCTGATCAGAGATGTTGTCTGATTTCTCAGAGCACGGTAAGTATCCCAGTCCTGCACAACTTTTGTTCTAATAGCTTTGCGTCTGGCAGCGTCCCGACGACCCATCATGTTTCTCACCCTGTCAGTCATCCATGGGGCTGTGCGGCTTTCTTTGTTCTACCTTTATACAGTTTGCCTAAGTGGATTGTTCTAAATAGTGTGTCACGTTCAATATCAAACAATTTACAATCAATTACAAAATGTATTTCATCTTCTACACTACCAGAGTTACAAACCTTACAGAGTCTATCTTCTACAGGAGTCCGGTTATGTCTGCCGGTTTCTATGTGTAAATTATGGTCACTAATTCGTAGTTTTGACATGGTCCGGCGATGCTCGGGATTTGGGATACTTAGGTATTTTTCTTTATTATATGTAACTTTGAACAGTTTGTATGTTCTTAATTTGTTGCCTTGGTTGTTTCCTCGGCCGTTTGAATTTAATTCAGAATAGAATTGCTGTATAAAATTATCTTGTAGTCTTTTCTTAAAATCAAGTGAATAAGCAGACAAGTTCAGACTGTTGTTTGTAAATAGAAAGGCGTAACCGGACTCCTCTAACATTTTTCTTACATTAGACAGCCAGCAGGGTACATGTTGTCGATCTAAGTCTTTTTGGACGATAAAGGCTTCATATTGCAAACTATTTGTGTCTACGTTACTAATAGTATTTATCATCAATGTGTCTGTTTGTCATATATATATGCTGCAGCACAATATATGTCAGTAAAGGTGCTACAGTAAAGGTCTAGTAACTGCGTTTAGAGTAAAGAATAAAATTATTACAATATAACAAAAATTTAGTAAGTGGCAATCGCATTTAATCGCAAGTAAAATCGCATTTAATAACAGTGAATTGACATTTCAAACTATATGGTGACTAATACTTTCTTTACCTTATATGGCATAGAAAAATTAACATTAAATACTTATTCAAAATTCTTCTACTCAATTTATCTCTTACAACTTCAATCCATAATTAGAACATTATAATTATGCTTACTTACTAGAAAAGTTGTTCACAAAATAGTGGGAACTAACAAAGAAGGTAAACCTAAACCTGTAAAGAGAGGGTCTCTATAGAAACTGGACATTTGGAATTTGTGTAACACACACTAGACAAAATAAAAGATATCAAACCATAGAAGAGCATAACAGCTCCGTATCCTATCTCATGTCATAGCATAATATACCCAAAATAATAACATAACATTACATAACATAACATAACATGACACACACAAACACACACAAACACACACACACATACACACTCTCTCTCTTTAGAAATAGTGAGATGGATATGATAAAAGTCATCTTCAGCCATGTCCTAAATGTACAAACTATTATCCCTCCTCCCTATCCCATGCAAACATGCCTGCAGCCCACTCATAAATATAATTCAATTAGCTACCATTAACCGTTACAAAAAAAGTCATGTTAAATCATAACAATGTAACAAGAGGGATACTATTAATGGAAGTTCATAATTAGTGAATCAGTAATTCCCAGTAACACCATTTCTGCAATCTATAGTCCACTGTTCACTAAGTCACGTGTATTATCTGTTTGACGTCACAGACATTGTGGATTGCTTATTTCTTAACTTAGACTGAATGTCTAGTACTTCATAGCCTTGCTAAATAGTTTATATACTTTTTAATAGATATATATTCCAATCATAATGTTTTAAATTTATTTTGCTTTTTGAAAACAGGGATAGGTCAATTACGACTAATAAGTGCAGTACATGGGACGGCCACGGCAACGGCGATTATGTAGAGAATCAGGCTCAACCGGTCCAGAACGTCAGCCAACAAGGCGTATTCCCCATCCTCCCCCTCGTGATTACCACTAGTCGCCCTAGCTAGAACATCGATAGAACGCTTAATCTCGGTCAGCTTTATCCTAACGATGCTGTTCAGCTCGTCCATCTTTACTCCAATGACAGCACCGACCTCATTCTTCATTTTTGGCAGTTTGTGTCCTCCGATGTCCTTTACTCTCCTGGTGAAAGTGTAGTCTGCTTGCTTCTCGGTTTCCAGCTTCTTTGTCAAATCTCCCATCAATAGGAACCTAAACGTATAGGAAACACCATGCAATATTGTATCGTCTTTAACCCTCAACAGTACACCTTCCCGGACTGATTAATCTGTACACCTGGGGTCCGCGCGGACCCCAGAACAGTTTTTTGCTAATTTTTAAAAATTATCAACATGCTACCAGCTCAATTGTTTTGCAAACTAATGTGGGAACCTCTGTGTCCACATTACATACAAAAATCATACATTTTGAACTTTTTCTATTTTTTGGTGAAGAAAAGAAGACAAGAAGAAATACCCGATTTTTAAATCCATTTCAGACTGAAGGGGCTTTTGAGGCCCAACTTTGATCTCAGATAGCGGCTAAACGGCTTGCGCTAGAAGTATCAAATTTGGAGACCTTTCCTAAAATGTCTCTGGAAAAAAGTTCATATCAGTTTAATACTAGTAAGTTGATGTTTTGTTGTGTTGCCATGGCAACGGGTTTCTAACAGGCAGTTTTTTTTCAATAGAAGTAATTTTGGTTTAAACATAAAAATTTTCTGAGTTTTATATTAAATTACACTTCTTTTCCAACATTAATAACATCTTACATAATTAAATATAAGTTAAAATATTTAATATGCATAGAATATGCTAATTTGATGACGTCATTGGTCAAAATCCAATATGGTGGACTATATTATTAGCTCTGACGTCATATGACGTCATAATTACACCAAAGTTATCAAAATTTAATTCTATTACTACACCATTCTCTGATAACTTGGTAGACATACGATGAGTGCATAAAACATATAAAAACGGAAATAAGGTAATGTAAAAGAACGCCAGTGTATCCATTATGATCAAAAGCCGGCTGGGGTCCGCGCGGACCCCAAAAGAAAATCAGATATAATTTTTTTATAAATGGTAGAAACGGAGTTTTCTGCACTGTATTGAGAGACAACTTTGTGGGTGACAATTACCTAAAATTTCAGAAAAAAATCTTTAGAAACAAAAAAGATATTACTGAACATATAGTGCTGGGGTCCGCGCGGACCCCAGGTGTACTGTTTAGGGTTAAATGTTAGGTGAATACTATAATAGAAATTATATGTTGGCAGTTAGTTAAAATTTATGTTACATACAGCTTTCGACCAGTCGCTTTGGCCAGTCGCTGACCAAATTAGACTTGACTTCTCACGTATCTTCTCTAAAGTGTGACGTCAAAACACAGCGTCAAAGGTATCTGGTAGACGGTGTTTGCGCGGTGGATAGAACACTTAAGAGATCGCGTGACAAACCTTTAAACACCGTAAGTAAAAACTTACAAGATAACAAGGCACCTCAAAGCAGTTTAACTCACTAAAAAGCTAATCCTTCACCCACTGTATGGAGAGTACATACCAGGTGATATGTACATCTAGCCTTTTTTGACAAGTACCTGCCTGTCTGATCAGCAGCAACTCATGACCTATAGAGCTATTTTTAGACAGAATTAATGGTGGATAGGCTACATGTATGTACGATGTCTGTTTTAAGATCTATTCAATAAACAGATTTTTTTTATATATACCTTGCTAAGTGTTTCATTAAGAGTATCCGTGCCCATCTCGGAACGGGTCCCTTCTTGTCGTGTATGATAATGATAAAGACAGTCGTCAGCATGAAGAGAGCCATCAGAGCCATGCAAACAATGATCAGCATAGCTGTAACAAAAGTAAAGGGCATTTTAATGACCAACAAATCATTTAGTATACTTATGAGCACAGCCCCCTCTTTCTCTTTCTCTTTGTCAGTTAGCCTCAAAAGACAAGGTCAATAAAAACATTAATCAAGTTTCGGAATCAAAACTGTTTAGATATCTAATACTTTATATATTTTCATCTTTAATGTGATAAGTTTGCAACAGTGCAATGGAATGAAATGTAAATCCGTCTACAAAATGTTTTAAAAATATAAATAAGTTTATGAACCATGTGCAAAGATGAATTATTGCATTTATTAATCTATTAGCCTTTTTTTCTCCTAAAACTTTCTTATCACAATCAACAACATGCCATTAACAATGAAAAAAGCTTCGTTTTATTTTATTCAGTCGAAATCGGATTCCACTAACCTATGAACGGTAGAGTGTTTGACACAGGTAGAAACCCCGTGATGACGACCAGCGACACGACCATAGCCAGCAGCACGGTAACGCCGAACCCGATCCTGTCGCCTTTATCGATTGGCACAATGAAGGTGATAACCATCAGTACAATGAGGATGAAACAAGGAGAGATGGTAGTGGCTAAGTGATATGTGGCATCCCGTTTGAGGGTGATCGTCAGGCAGGCCTCGTTGTTAAATGCTGAGAGGGTCGCAATGCCGCTCCACTCCCCGTCCTCAACTTCAGCCCTGTCATTCTGGCAAGTCAGGAAGTTCTCGTCCTCCTCGCTTGTAGAATTCGAACACCCTTTTAAAAAAGACACAATTTCGTTTTAAGTTATCAGCAAATGGCGGGGCAAATGGCAATCACCTGAAATTCCATGCATCATTAAACAGCAGTAACTTGAATAAGAACATCATTTTAATGTGGGTTTAAAGGGGAACATTAAAAATGAGTCATATTTTTGTATCTGACGAAATTAATAAGAATGATAATCTTTTGCAAAAATAGTGAGAGACATCTAACACGGGGTCGTGTGGTGTAGCGGCAGAGTGCGCGATTTTAGGAACCTAGGGGTCCCGGGTTCAAATCCTGACATGCCACCAGTCTTGTGCCCTTGGAAAAGGCACTTTACACGACCTCCCTCTCTTCGCTAAGGTGAAAATGAGTATTGTCCGGTCCTGTATTTGTCCCGTGTTGTTGGTGGTGGCATTAATGTAAGTTGAAAGAAACGAGAGTGTGCCGTCACCGCGTCTGGTGATTACATGTTGGAATAAAAAAAGAAACATCTAACAATTGCAGGGTCGAAATGAATTGTTTTAATTCGGCGTGAATTATGCGCTTTTGTGTATCATTTAATTTTTTTTGCTGCCACTATAGTAAGGCTAACGTTTTATGCGAATTCTGGCATGTGAACACAGATGAACTTTCAAGATAGTAAGCCTTTAAAGTATTAAAATTAGGTGTAAACAATACTAAAGCTGCCATACCGATTGTGTACTCTCCCACGGCTCTCCAGCACACTGCACATGTCATGTTGTCCTGCGGGAAGTGGAAGGGGTCCAGGTCACACGTGGTTTTAGCCAGGGATTCTACAGGCCAGATGACTTCACCTTCAAAATCAATATCTACCTCTGTCGCGGGGAAGCCACCGCTGTATCTTGTGTCCGCACTGGTAAAAATAGAGTAAAAAATCATGATATACTGACAATTCACATACATTGAATAATGTTGTAAAGGACTCGAGCTGTTTAAGATTAAAATCGCTACAGTGACTAAAAAAAGAAAAACTTTTTTCGCTACATACTAAGAACTCAATTCTAAAAAACATGATGCTAAAAATTGCCTACTTCCATACGAAAATACATTATCACAAGTTTAGTAAGTACGCATGGAGATTATTAAAAAGTAGCGTCGTCGTCACTTACTTTCCCTGCAGTGTCAGCGTTGGTTTCCAGACTAGATCGTCGCTGACGTGAAGATGGTGTAACGATCCGTAATCTGTAGGATCCCAGCTCAGTCTATCGTCTCTCCAGATCTGTTGAACACAAATACAACTGGTTGTTTATATGTTTATGTATGTAACGGAGTTAGCGTTGTTGGAAAAGATTTTAAAGCATGCACAGCAGTAAATGTGTGAATACGAAGGTGCTAAGTAGTTGCAGCTGTAAAAAATGCCAAGTACAAAGAGTAGTAAAACATGTCAAATTCAAATGATAGTGAAACCTGGACTTACGTATTCAGCTTTGAAGGATGTTACTATCTGCTCTTCCTTTTCATCCTAAATTTGAGAGCAGCGATATAGCTATTTAAGTTTTGCTTGTGAAGAGAGAGATCATTACAAATGGGTAAGGGCAATAACAACGAAACGAACAATAAATACTTAACCCCATTTTAATTTATACGTTTATTCGGATGAGAATATAAATATATGATATTAATGGTCATTACAAGAATTAATGTTAATGCCTTACAGGACATTACTAAAATCTTTTCAATAACAACAGCGTACCAATAGTCAATTAAACTTGTATTGACGCTTCAAAATTAAATATTAAAACAAATAGATGAGACACTTTTTCTATACATATTCTAAATATATCAACAGTGTTAGTTGCACCTCTTTTTTCACGTACCATATTACTTTTTTGGTATCCTAATTGCTGTTCATTAATTTTTTTCTCATTTTCTCCTTTTTTTGGCACAACCAGGGGTAAAATAATCTTTTTTGCTTTATTCGAAACTGCGCATCTCAACCCCTTCAATCCCAAACCCATGTATCAACTAAATCAAAATGTGTGCTCATTCTACTTACCAAAGTAATGATCTTAACAACGTATGCCCTCATTTTTAAGCTAGTTGTTGGGGACACTTCCCTGTTGTAGATATCCGATTCTAGGATGAGATCATGTTGGAGATCGTATATGTAGTCCCCTACAGCAAAAAAAAATGATAAGATGCTACTACTACGATCGAGCAATATATTTATTTTATATGCAATTATGATACACACCCCAAAAATGATACTTTTCAGCTAGAAAAGAAACTAAAATATACTAATTAATGCATTCTAATCGGTCTAACTTACTGATAAACACTTGATAGGAAAAGCTTTCTTATATTGCAATAGTATACGGGCTTATTAAAGGCTTTCTTTCACCACGGTTTAAGAAAGCCAATTAGTAAGTGCAATAATTTAACAGCAAGATACTAAAAAGACAAAGTTTTTAATATCTAAACATTCTCTTATGTATTTACCTACTGCACTTTGTAAGGATTGTTAATTTTCATATACATGTATGTATGATTAACAAAATGTGAATGGCTTTAGACCTTTATCTTTTTTTATAATCGATTATAAAGTAAAATATATTTTGGATAAAATGTGATTCTTACGTTGACATTGAGGCCTCTCTGATTCCCAATCAGCCTCTCCCGTTACGTTGTTGACAATACATCGGACTTTGTTAGATGGGGAGTCTTCTTTGAACTTGAACCCTACATCGCAACTATAGGTGATTCTATCCCCAGGCCAGTAAAACTTCAGTACGGGCTTCCTTTTTCCAAACCGCGGGTTCCCCGGATCCTTGCACCCATCCACTGAATGAAGAATACATGAAGGTCATTGTGTTTTAAATCAGTGTTCATACGCATTTTGTGTTCGAACTATGGCCAGGACTGTTATACGAAGATAGAGTTAATTAATTACACTAGACTTTAAGTGCTACCATCATATTTTTAGATATGCCTACTTATCTGGAAAAACAATTTTCCTGACCTTATCCATTTTACTTTAATTATATGTATTTCATTGTCTTTATGTCAACAAAGAAACGGTTATCTGAATGTCATCTTGCGTTATTAGAAAGCGTTTAGTATATGCCATTTTTAGTGTTACATGCCCATTACTATCTTAGCTCCAGAGTCTTTGCGAAGAGAATGGTTTTTCTGGAGCTAAAATACGTGTTGTTAGGCTGAGGTCACATTTCCAAACCGGGGCCCGGACGGTTAGTCTCATGAAACGAAACGTATGATGTACAGTACAACAAAGCACAAATGCACAAGCAAATTTGAAAAAAAAAATTGGAACTATTTGCGTATATTCATTATATAATTTCTTTTTATTAATCAAAACAAACCAGCCGGGCTCCGGTTTGGAAAAAAAATGTTACCTCTGCATAACCACGCTAGACCTTTACATTTTAGAACATTGGTTGGCTACTGCGTTGTCCTTCTTTTCTTAACTACCGGAAAAATCCTTAGACGCGATTTTTGGATATGAATTGAATGTATATAGCATCTGTCACAACCCGCCGTACGTGCATCTGCTTGCTGTCTACGTGCAAAAACGTTGGCAAACTTAGGGGTACCGTAAATCTTTGGTCACAACCCGCCGTAGGTGCTTTTTGTCCGTACGTTTTTTGGGAGCCTACGTCTGCTACGTTTTTCTAAAAACGTGGTGAAGGAGTGGCGTCGACGCATGTCACTCGTACGTCACTCGCACGGTTGCGCAGAGTGTAACAGTGTAGTCTGCACGTCGAGCCGTGAGCGGTTGCGTGCATCGTTCGTTGCGCAAGTGGTAATTAGTTAGCTGTACGTGCTTACAACGTACGATCTCTGTGCGATTGCAACTTTACCGTAAGGAGGCCCTACTCACACGTGCGTTTTTCGTACGGGGCACGCGCGTCGCCCGTACTCGCACGGAAGGGTGGTGAATCCATAGACCGCACGCAGAAAAAGTTTTACATGCACTTCAAGTTCTATGGCGTGTCTGCGTGCTCCCAAATCCGTAGGATTCTGTATGGAGGCGGTACTCACCACGCACGGATGCCCTACATTTGCCCACGTTTTTGCACGCAGACAGCACGCAGAAGCACGTACGGCGGGTTGTGCCCGAGGTCTAAGTGGTGAGTATCTCCTCCGTACGGAATCCTACGGATTTGCGAGCACGGAGACACGTCGTTGAACTTTAATAATTTAAGTGCATGTTAAACTTTTTTTCTGCGAGCGATTTTCGGATTCACCACCCGCACGTGAGAGTGCGGCGACGTGCGTACCCCATGCGTGCGTACCCCCTATGAGCTTAAAACACACTTACTCCGTAAACTGTCCCATCGACAATTGCTGTACGTGCGTGCCGCGCCACACTGGTTTGCTTTTTCCGTGCTTACTTAGCACCTCCCAGTCCAACTGCTCAATGACTAGGCAGAACACCGTGCATCGATCCAGGTGCTCCGCACGTACAACGCACGAGAAACGCACTTAATTTCTACAGTATGTAAAGACGTCTTGACGGGCGACTGCCAACCCGTCTCCAAGATGCACAAGAAGGCACAGAAGAAGGCATCTGCAGCTACAACCAGACAAGACCCAAAAAAACTGGCCGCTGAAGACGATGGGGCGACTGGTGAGGACGAAGACCGGAGAAAGAAAGACTAATCAGATGGTTCATCGCATCTGCAGGCATTTATAACGTGCGAGTGAGTAAGGAATTACAGTACGTACGCCGCAAGTATAGGTACGGCCTGTACGCCGTAACGTGGAAATCGTAGGTTAAAGCACGTACAACTAACCACTTGCGCAACGAACGATACATGCGACCGTTCAGGGCAAAACGTGGCTTGCAGACCACGTACTTACACCTTGCGCAATCATTCGAGTGACGTACTGCGTAGCAGCTGCGTTTTCAGAAAAACGTAGCAGACGTGGTCTCCCAAAAAACGTACGACAAAAAGCATGTACGGCGGTTTGTGACCGACGCTCTAGTTTAAGCCGTTGGCGAAAGGATGTATCGTACGTGTGTTTTTTTTAATATACCCTTAATCGCAACTGTGTGCCTTGTCGTAATATTGATATTATAATTATAGATTGAAACTGAGATAATCCTTTGGCGTCTTAACAGTCGATTCGAACATTTACCTTGCTGGATGTACCACACCTCATCCTCTCACTACACGAAATAAATTGTCGTAATCACTGATATGATTCTGTAGCATTTGATCTCTACTCTTCTTGTCAGACTGTAGAAAAACATGCACATGGAAACGCTTATTTTATTCTAATAAACATATACGCGACACAATACCTGCTTTACAAAACTAGAAAATATTTGTCGACTCACGGTTGCAGGGAAAAATGTCGCAGTACTCTAAACCAGTCGGTGTGTAGCACCATGGCCTGGCATGTCCATCAGGGTTACGGCATTTGTTGTCCTCAAGGTTTGCCCAGGGGTAAACCTCTTGGTAGTAGTGGTCATCGTCCCATCGCAGACAGTCCACTACGGCCACAGGACCTATTGCCGCGTCCCCTCTATAATTTGCACCGTTTCCGTCAAAACACTCGTCTACGAGGGGAAATTAGAAATAACCTACTGAAAGCCGAACCAACCCCTCCAAACACAGTCAAAGAGTGTTCCAGAATACCCTGTGGCAAAACTGGACATACCAACTTTTGGGCATTTGGTTTTCACACTTAAACACCAAAATTTTATTTCAACTAAGAAAAGAGAAACACTTTGATTAAGAAGATTGTAGAAATCGTGCAGAGGACTATGTGTATGTGCAGAGGACTTAATTTAACTTCACACATCATTCCTTTCAGGGTACCGGACTTATGATTGCAAAATCAGAAACGTGCGCTAAGAATAATTTTAGGCCCTCAATACTCATGTTATGATGAAGCCCTTTCCCATTTTGGCCTCTGTACCTTGAAAACTAGACGAGAATCGCTAAGCCTTAAATTTGCCAAATCTCTGTTGAATTCGCCGACGTTTAGAAACTGGCTGCCCCCGCTACGGAAAGATGTTCACAACAGAAATTTAAAGGGCAATAATCAGCTCTGTATTCCGATGGCAAGATCCAATGGATATAAAAACAGCCCCATTCCATACTTTACTGCACTTCTGAACAACGTCAGGTAACCTATCAGTGTGTGGTAATTTTTATTATGATTATTGTCTAATTATTTTAATTATTTTGCTATGTATAGTAGTTTCTATAGATTTTATTAAGTGTTTTATTCATTTCTTGTAACTGCCTAATATGCATAATTCAGCGACTTGTACTATGTACAAGTCGCTGCAATGTATTTTAGTGTATTGCTTTCAATTGAAACAATAAACCAACTATATAAAATCGTGTCATTTCAGTGAAAAGCAAAAAAAAAACTATTTATTGATTTTATAGATAGATGCATTTGACTGTAACATTAAGTACTTATGGTACAACAATAATGTAGTTAAGATATTTGCAGATTTTAACAATTAAAATACACGACAAAATCCTTACCACCCGCCTTAGTCGTCGAGGCCATGATGTTGTTGCAATTTTCCTTTGGCAGAATTTTGCAGCCAGGAAACGCTGACCAAGAAGGCTCTTCATGGCAGGAATACGCCACTTCCTCACACCACGATCGGCAGGGTAGCTGCTGTGTGAAATTCGGACTGAAATAAAAAATATTGAGTAAGACAAATATTATTTACACCACTCTGTGTGGTTAAGTCAATTTGAAGACCCCCAGCGAAGTAGGCGTTGGCTCCCCCAGCGACACATAGCAACCACCTTTGACCCCTAGTTTTCCAGATTTTCCCCATTGTTCGCTAATTGCCCCCTCCCCACCTAGTGTGAAAACTTCCCTAGAGGGGTGCCGCTGGCCCAGGTGAGATGTTACCTGGCACCCTGCAGGCGTGTGAAGGGCTGTATAACAGTACTGTCTGGCAAGGGAAGCAGGATGTGCATTGGATGTGATGTAACAGTGTTCCAGGCGTCAGAAAATAGTTTGAATGGCCGTCTGAATTTTTTGCTTGTATAGCTACATATAGTTAGTTGTATCAAGGACATTATACACAGATGTGTATAATGTCCTTGGTTGTATACAGCTTAGCTCAATGTATCGCCCCCAAAGTTCAGTTCCCGCCAATAGTACACCGACTATGGTACACTGGGATTTTGACTTAGTGACTTGACATTGACTTGTATATAAATACCCTTACCATCATCACACCGATTGCATGCATGTACTTATGCCCTTCTGTTACAGTATTCATGTTGGTTCTTATCAAAGCTCCACTACTAAGCCTGGCCCAAAGGATTGCTTCTTCTAATTGAACTCTTTAAGAAGTAAACTTCTCTTGTAAACCCAGTTTCGTATAAAGGTAATCATGCTGCTAACTAGCTGTCACTTGCAAAATGGGAAATTTAACAGTTTTTTAAAATACAAATTTAAAAAAGAAAGAAAGGTTTCTGTGCCACTTTTTCATTTGGTGATTTGGCCTTCCTTGTACTGAGGACATTATACTAGTACTTGGTGTACAGTCTTTACTGAATCCAAGGAAAATGCCTGAAATAATTTACATGTACCATTAATTTCCACAAAATAAAGACTGAATTTCCCATTTTTCAAGTGACTGGCATATGTGATTACTTTGTTTACATTGTTTTGCAAGAGTTAATATTATATCCATGCTCAGAACACTAAGTACTGAAAAATGAATACTATAGTTCACATGATTTAACATTTTTCTTGTGTCTTGATCAAACAATTCCTCCAAATTGCTTTATGTGCATGAAACAATCATATAAATGTCTGCCAAATCAAGGAGGTTCTAGGGGGTTCTAACTACATGACCAAATTTATCTCATTTTGCTTGGATAAACCAAGAAGCTTCAATTTCAAACTGAAGCTCATTTGATAAATAGTCTTAGTCTAACTTTTCTGGAAATTTCTGTATTGTGTACATGTATGTGTGCTGTGCTTGTTAATTGTCTCTTCAGATACTCCAGTGCTAAAAAGTGTCTACTGTACTTGTTTATCAACCCAAGCCAAACTGTCTGGCATGGCAGGTAAAGGTGTGAAGCAGCTGTGAATTTGCCTATTGTTTTCCTCAGGTATTCTGGTACCCTGCTGTCAGGATCTGAGTCAACAAACTAATTGGCCATATTGTCCCCTTATCCAAACAAAGAGATCATATGTCATCCTTGGAGTGACCAAAAGTTGCAGTTTTGTCATCTTTTTTTCTTCTCAAAGGCGGAAACATATGCAATGTTCTTGTTTCACGCAAAAGACATGTCTGAAAAGTAGACAAGTTGAACTTTAATGTTCAAGTGGTCCCAGGGTTGTGCACATTTCCAGTACATTGTATGGGATCTATGAATATTTCAATTATGCCATTTTTGGTAATATTTTGAACATATTAAAGAATATCTCTGCTATAATGATATTGGTAGATGTGGGACCACTTGAATATTATAGAGTGATCATTGCAGAATACATACATACCAAATTTGTGTCAAATACATGATTTTAGGGCTTCCGCCGGGAGCATAAAAGTGATAAAATTTAGCTCTGATTATAATATTCATATCTTTATATCAGTATGCTTTAATTGGAGTCTATATACTTAGAAAGTATCTTATGGACCCTATGCTTCATGTCTTGTTGTAAGTTCTGGAAGAAAATATCTCAGTGACAATATATTGAACATCAAAGTTGGGGGACCAGTTCATTAGCTAGAAAGGCTGAAAAGTGACTAAACTACACAGAGCATAAATTATCATGAAAAGTTATGTGTAAATGGTGTTACATGCTAATAGTTAAAATTTATTCTCACCACAAAAGGAAAATGAAACGAGTACATGCATCGGCAAGAACGATCTTTTCCCTTTTAAGCACATAACTTGCAATGTTGGGGAATTTAATACCAAATGCAATAAAATGATTTTGGTAAATTTCTCTCTAGTAAAAGAAAAGAAATCTTAACTTTGGCTCGAGTGGTGTAAATAGACGTGAACGAACCGTTCCACTGATTTGCCAATCGATATTAATAAAAAGGAATCACGATGTTTGTGTGTCGCCAGATTTGTTTATACATATATAATAGCTAGAGGGAGGGAGCTAGCTATAGAGCGACAGAGCAACGGCTGAATACATCGGTTGGTGTAAGAGTGAGGGAGAGAGAAAAAGAAAGAGAGAGAGAGGGGTAGGGCTTGCCCTTAGTCCTATTGCATATTTATAGTTTTAGTATAGAAGTTTTTACCGACGTACCTCGACTCGCACCGTGGAACAATAACGGCACAGACGATGTCCCTAACACGGGGGTGGCATTTGGAGTATGCCAGGGTGGTAAGTCTACTGAAACTTGTAGAATTTTTGATCTGCTCTACCGTGGTGTGGGTGAAGTTGAGCGGGTTGGGGAGTGTCATCTTTGTGTACTCCAAGTCCAGGCACATCGGTAGAGATGATGGAATATCTTGACAAGCTGGTAGACGAAATGCAATATTTCAGACTTCAAGGAAATGTTTGTAACTATTGCATGGTTGGCAATCATCCCATGCAACCCTTGAATGCTATATCTAGCTCCAAGCCATTTTTAAAAATTGTATGTCAAGTTCTGAGCTGTTTTAACCTTTTACTTTCTGCCATGTGGCCTGAAGCAATATCGATCTACTTTGGGTAGAGAGGATCCATTCAAACTCCGACTTCCACTTAGGCCACCCTAAACAATACCTTTGTCTCTGAAGTAATAATATTACATGCATGCATACTATGACATTTTAAATCCAGTCCTATTATGTCCAATGTATATTAGACCGTTGTATTCACAGTACCATGCTTAATTTATTTTAACACAGGGTTACAAAATGATCAAACTTTCAGCGACTACTGTCGCCTTCATCAGGATAAGTAATGACCAATTACTTCACAACGTGATCTCGCGAGAGTTACGGACTTGTTCACACGTGACTTGTTCACACGGATACGTAATATCAGCAATTGGATTACGTAATGTCTTTAATTGCTGACTTAACGTATCCGTAAAGTCTTTTTTTATTAAGTCACGGGTTCGGAACTCTCTACGATTTAAACAATGAGGTTTTTTTTACTCACCACAGTTTTTTTCATCCTCGTCGCTGCCATCCTTGCAGTCATTACGTCCGTCGCACCGTGTTCGAGCGTCTATGAAGGTGACGTTGTCGGCACATCGATACCGACCGATTTCTTGGGAATTAAAATACGACTTATTAAAATGCACATTGGGTACTTGTGGCGTCTTAAATTTCTTATCTCCGCTAATGTTAGTAACCACGATATGTGGGCCAAAGAGGTGCCTACATCAATTATTAGTTATAAAACGATTAGAATGCAGTGCAAATGCTAAGTCTCCGACCAATTCTCCGACAAAGACAAGCATTACATTTTTACAATTACTTTGTCCGATTGAAATTTAGAGAGAGTAAAAGCAGTCCACAGTGTGCGGTGGTGCAAATACTACTATATAGGAGTGGGTGAGTCGCTACATACAGTTTATCTGAAAAAATGATAAAACGTTGCACACACCATCAGTCACATCCACGGCTGAGTAGTGTGCTCTGAACCCTTTCTTGTTCTTTGATGCGTCTGACGTGAATCTTACAGTCATGGTGTTCCCTGATGATGTCACCGGTTCGGGAAGAATTTTCTCCGTCAGCAGTGCTGTAAATGACACACAGGCAGAAACATCGCACAAGTAAAAGCAGCTATTTGTCTATATTCCTGCACTGGTGTGGATAAGGCCACACTAACAATTTTAAAGGGTGAAATACATTAGATGGAATTGAATTTCGCCTATTCAGGGGAGCGCACCATAATGTCGGTGCGTTTAGAAGTTGTTTTTTTTTATTCTGTGGTCCGTTGTACTAAAGATACATGGCGGAATACAAGGAACAATATTCGAACAAAGCAGATTATTTGTTAGCAAGGTGCTAGCCTCAAATTCAAACGGCTAGATGGACTAGCGAACAAAACTTGGATTTTAATTTTCAGTCATACCACATGTGATATAATAACAGATTTTATTGTACATGTTGTTCCCCTACAAGCTTTAGACTACAACAACTAAATAATGTTTACTCTTACATATTTGCCTGGAGTCGTCAGTTGTGATTCCGTCATAAACGTACACGAAGTCGTAGTCATGTTCAAGGTTAAAGTCTGTGAAGGTCAGTCTGACGACGTAGGGCGGTGTGACAGTGATCTCGTAGACACAGTCATAGCTGCTCGGGTAGTTGTTTGGGTAGTTTGGGCTGGTGAATGTCCCGCTGTCACCCGCCAGACGTTTACACACTGTTGACAGAATTACATGGAAATTGGTATTAAAAGATACTGGTATTTTGTTCCTTTTTTGTTTGCTTTGCCAATTCATTATTTTTTTACAACGTATGCAGGTCTCTACTATTTGAGGTCATGAGGGATGAGGTCAGGCAAAATATGTAACAAAGACCCAGGTTACATAATGTAAAGGCAGGGCTCGAAATACTGGGTGCATGTGCACCTTAGTGCACCCAAATTTAGAGCTGTGTACCCAATTCTTTTTCTGTGGGTGTGCACACAGATATTTTTAGGTGTTTTCTAAACATCAACTGAATAATAGTATGTAGGATATTCTTGGCATCTAAGTGTCAGAAGAATGATAAAGTCTTTCTTGTAGTATTTTTTTGTAAGATTTTGAAGTTCGCTCTCATTTCAGACGTAAGCTCAGAAGAGGAGCAGTAAGAACTGCAATTAGGTTTTGTTTTATATGGTGCACCCAAAAACTTTTTGTGCACCCAATTTTTAGGTTGAGTGCACAAGTGCACCTATTTTCAAACATTAATGTCAAGCCCTGAAAGTGAAAGGCTTCATAAATCTTTACTCTTACTTACAATCTAATATAAGATACAACAAAGCTAAGGTGTGACTTAAAATCTATCTGTAAATGTTTCACAACATCAATGATATCTTTTTAAAAAATTTTTAATTACTTTTCAATTCAAACGCTTGAATCAGGAAACAGACGTTTGTATATCAAATGAAACATCAAATCTCTATGAGGGCGAAATTTCAAAGTCACAAATTGACGCTAATATATCTAAATAGTATAGTGTTATGTCTGTTTTACGTTACGTTAAAATTTCAAAGCTTATATCATTATATACTAAACATATTGTAACTTTTATTTGTCCAAAATAGACTATGGGGGTTTTCTTAATAAAATGACAGAAGATAGACGTAAGACTTAACCAAAGGCTTCGGTGTCCAGGACGACGCACTAAAGAATTCTTTTTTACTGTCTCTTCTCCAGCAGCTTGAAGAGTAAGTTGACCCCCATGGATACATAAACTAATTAACATCCTAGACTGTCTATGCCCGAAAACACAAAACTTGAACAGATTAGCATAATAACAGTCAATTTCAAATATTTTTCTACACTGTTTTAAAGTAACAATATAAAACCGTGCAAAATGATCAGGATAGTTGTAACTTAGTCACATTATAAAGAAAAGAATACCTCTAACATTCAGGTTGAGGAAAACCAACCTCGTAGTAAAATGTCAATTTTTCAAACTGTCCTGTCAAAGTTTTATTAAAGTGTCTAATTTTAGATGTCTACATGTAAAATGTCAACCTCACAACTAAATTAGTTTAATAGTACCAGTACGTGTCTCTAGAAATATGGCTTGTAATTGTGGTGTCAATTTGGTAGTATAAGAAAACAGTATAACGTTACATGTAGACTCTGTTAACTGCCGGTCAATCTCTATCACACTACCAGGCTCAGTTTGGCGAGACAACTTGTTGTCATTACAGTACTTTATAGTCTGGGTTAGATGAAGCTAACTTCTTTATGTACATGAATCCCTTATCTGTTGTCAATATGTTTTGGCCACCACCTTAGCCAGCCCTGTACCCACTGTTACCACCACGGTAGTCAGGGATAGAATGAAGCCTGCTAGTTTACGTCAGCCGAATTTATTGGGTGCTTATAAAGTACAAGCCTGGTCTTTAAAAAAAAAAAATTGGTCGCTATGTTACAAAATACAATGCAATGTATGCAGTATACCTACTATACCACAATGGCCAACAGTCCGCCTTTTGTGCCTTGCCCCCCTCCCTCCTTATGTAATCCGTATCTTACATAACGCCTGTGAAAAACAACTTAGTTAAATGAAATGTAAAACCACAGTTACTCACAGATTTGGGAGTAGACGCCACCAAAGAGCAGAAGGTACATAATAACGACGCCAACCGACTGCGTTTCTAACATGACACGTATCCGTTGTGGCTAGTGGAAAAATACACTGTTAGTATACATCCAAAATCCAGATTATTCAGTCCATGTTATAAATCAAAAACTGGAGTCTCGCTATAATATTGATACATGACAGGATAGTTACCTTGCATGGTTCTGGCAAGCCATACATTGCTGTACGTACTTGTTTTGGCAATGGGAAAATGGACAGTTGGAATTAATACATATCCAGCACCATGTTATGCACTAAAACTGAACTCTCACTTTAAGTTTAGTCAATTGAGTTAAACGCCAGGGTTTACGTCTGGATGCCTCTGGCAACAACCAGTATACATACGCGCCAACATGAGGTGAAGGCCGGAGAACACAGTAACCATCCGCGACCTACGGAGTCTACCAAGTTTACTACGGCGCGATATACAAAGTAGTACGGAGAGCAGTGGATACTGGGTAGCTAAAAAGTCTCATATGAGCGTCAGTCAGCTGTAAACTGTACTGTGTGGGATAGCAATACGTCAGCTTTGAAACTAAATTATTCGGATTGCGATTTTTGCCGGTTCGTGTATAAATCCGCCGCGTTACGTAACTCACTGCGACTGTTTTTCAGGCTGAACCAGTTGCAGTTCTGTTTACCTCCGCACGGTGCTTTTAAAGGAGTACTTAATAAATGCTATTAAAACAGCATACTTTACATATTACTTCTTAATTGAAAGATTATAATCACATTGTAATTTTTCGTGTTTTTTTTTTTTTCAGAGCGCCCTACAATACTCTGTTCGGCCACCTTAAGTATTCTGAGTTAGTCACTCACAATAATTGGATAATTGCACTAACACCTCTAACTACCCAATTATCCACTCGCTGGAGGCACAGGTAAAATAGGCCGTGGGAACCTTACTCACAAGAATGTAACGGATTCTCATGTTTTTATAAACTTTTAATGTTATTCTAGAAACAATTTATTACAATATATTTCACTGGTTCCGACAAAAGCTCACATATGGAAAAATGATACATTTTGACTACACAAAAGGGGTTTATACCCGGATTTTACACAAAGCATTCATAAATACATGCATCTCATGTGACGAGTACAGAGAAAAAGGTCCTTCACTCGTTATACTTATTTACTTCTAACAAAAGCATAGTCAATATCAATAAAAATAGAATTTATAGTTAATAGTATTAGACATATTTCTTGTCAACAGCACACGACAGACGCAGCGACAAAAATAGGTCCAGGCTAGCAAATAAAAATGTGGAACAGTCTTCGTTTTGTAAAGGCAACTTGACAAAAAAGGTTCTAAGTCATAACCAGAATTGATTTTATACCTAAATTTACGTTAACATCTTACCTGACAGAGAAAACGCACAGTTCTTCTACCGTTGCACTTTGCTTCCGACTCTGAGAATTAAACGATGAATCTGCCATGACCTTTGACATATATGCAGTTAGTTCACATGATAATTAGTACATCATGTGATTAGGGGTGTCTTGATACGATTGGTTAGAATACATAATGCCGGGAATGACGTCATATAGGGGTAAATTGTGCGCTTGATTTGAATGCTTGAAAAGAGACATAAAGAAGGCCGAGGGGTGTTGTTGTAATGGTAGTTTGCCATAGTGTAGTTTAGATTTGTAGATTGGCCTAAAATTTCCCGAGAGGGCATTATAACCTATGCTTCTGGAATAGGGCTTCATTTATTGGAATTTTTTTCATCATGTTATTCACGAACTAAGAATAAAAAGTGTTGTTTGTTCTAATCTAACACATACCACTCGTAACCTTGGAGTGGCCTTCGGGCCGAATAGTAAATATGTCCTTCAGGCATTTTTATCTGTCCATATTTTGGCCCGGTTGAAGGAAGTCCTTTTCTCCCTAGTTCTTAAAGGATTTAAATGTAACAATGTAATTTAGTTTCATTTAGAGTTTATTTGTTGCTTTAATTATACGCCAGCCTGGTATGTTCACTTCATGGCTCATATTGTAACATTTCTGGCTATCACGGGGTGCCTTGGCCTGTTTTATTTTTATTTCGACCTGTCGCTTCATATTTTTTCTGAAAAAAAATCAGAGAAACAACGAATTAAAATGGTGTGGCCTAAAAGTGGCTTTATCAGAATAGATTTTTGTAAGTAAAATTACATTTTAGTGAATGACCTTTCAGATTACGGCCACGTTGTCAGAATGAACAGCATAAATGCATTCTACACCAACCAGCATTATATCGTTATACATGTTGAGACCTACAAAGTTAATTGCCCGTAGCCAGGATTTTGAATGGGGGGGGGGGGGTCTTCCCACTGCTTGAGGGGACCTCGAGCGCCGAAGGCGCGAGGTTCCTAGAGGGGTCCGGGGGCATGCTCCCCCGGAAAATTTTCAA